TCACCATATTTGTATCACTCCCTCCTGCCACAAGGGGCAAGCTATTTCCTTTTCTAGCAAGTTCTTTCTCTCTTCTTGAGAATTAACTCCCCATCTCTTTCCAGATCTTGCCTCCATCATCACTTCTTTGCTGGTGTTTTCCCTGCCTTCCTTATTAATAGTGCCATGATCTCACCCATTGGATCCATTGTAGCACTTATGACAGTTGCAAGTATGCATTTATTTATAAGATAATGTGATTAATGTCTGCCTGCCTCCACCACTAGAATGAAAGTTCCATGAGAACAGGGGCCATATCTTCTTGTTCACAGCTATAACCTTGGAATTTGGAATAGCCAACACCAAGTACGTGTGTTTGTTTGTTTGTTTAATTGTTCAGCAAATAGTTGGCTAGAACTGCTCACCAACCAAGTCTTCCTAAGATCCTTGGCTAAGTGCATCAAACCCATGGGAGGAGAAGTAAGGTCCTGGAATACATTTGGGCTGATTTTCTCCAATCAACAAATTGGTACCTACAAGTTTAACAGTTGAGTAAAATACAAACTCCTAGCAACTCGGATACAGACTATATACCTTTCTAGAAGAGAGAAATTGTGATAGGCCTGGCACAGAGAGGTAAGCAACATGCCCAAGTTTACCTAACTAGTAGATAGCAGAGTCAGTATTTAGACCGCAGCTATCTGGTTCCACTTGATTAATCTTCCTGAACCTCTGTTTTCTCATCTGTAAAATGGGAGCAATCAACGGTGCTAGCTTGAACAGTTATAAGAATTAAATGTGATAATGTATTGAAAGCACTTGCACATAAGTATTCATTGTATGGTACCTATTACTGTTAGTTTATTTGAAAATAAAGGGAAGTCAGAGAATCTGTATGTTAGGATGTGGAGAAATATCTGTCTTTCCATAAAGCCCTCACCCACCCTTGTCTTGTTTCCTCTCCCTTCCTTTTTTCCCTCCTCTGTCCTCCTTTACTCTCTCTCTCTCTCCAGCTATAATCTCCAAAAGAGATGTTTTTAGGGGTTAATAAAGGAAGACAGAGGAGCAGATGGAGAGAGATCAGATTTATCTCAAGAAAGGGGTTGAAAAGAACACTGAAAGGAGGAAGAAATAAAAGAAAGGTAGGAGTGAAGGGTTTTTCCAGTAGTCGTGTGTGGATGTGAGAGTAGAACTATAAAGAAAGCTGAGCACCGAAGAATTGATGCTTCTGAACTGTGGTGTTGGAGAAGACTCTTGAGAGTCCCTTGGACTGCAAGGAGATCAAACCAGTCAATTCTAAAGGAAATAAGTCCTGAATATTCATTGGAAGTTCTGATTCTGAAGCTGAAACTCCAATCCTTTGGCCACCTGATGCAAAGAACTGACTCATTTGGAAAGACCCTGATGCTAGGAAAAATTGAAGGCGGGAGAAGGGGACAACAGAGGATGAGGTGGTTGGATGGTATCACTGACTCGAAGACACGAGTTTGAGTAAGCTCCGGGAGCTGGTGATGGACAGGGAGGCCTGGGCATGCTGCAGTCCATGGGGTCGCAAAGAGTCAGACATGACTGAGTGACTGAACTGAACTGAGGAGTGAAGGGACAACGCATGTAAGATGGTTATGTTTTTCCTCTGCTAAATAAAAGTATGGCTGTACACAGCTTTACTACAGGACTTTCTTCTCTATTTTAAAAAGGGATGGAGAAAGGGGAAGCATAAAGACATGGACTTGGAAAGGTACTGGCTATTGCTGCTGCTGCTGCTGCTAAGTCACTTCAGTTGTGTCTGACTCTGCGACCCCATAGACAGCAGCCCACCAGGCTCCCCCATCCCTGGGATTCTCCAGGCAAGAACACTGGAGTGGGTTGCCATTTCCTCCTCCAATGCATGAAAGTGAAAAGTGAAAGTGAAGTCGTTCAGTCATGTCCGACTCTTAGCGACCCCATGGACTGCAGCCTACCAGGCTCCTCTGTCCATGGAATTTTCCAGGCAAGAGTACTGGAGTGGGGTGCCATTGTACTGGCTATTAGTACCATTTAATTTATAGTCATCTACACCCTACATTTTTTGGAAAGGATAAAAGCCTAGAAAACATTACCTCAACTTAGGTAGCTTTGAAACACATACACACCCCATTGTTCAGTGCTGCCCCTTTAGCATTTCCTATGCATTTATATTTGTGTGCCTGTTGGTTGAGTGTGTTGCTGGCGCTCACAGCACAGAAGCCACAGGAGTCAGGGGAATGTGTCTTTTCCTTTGAAACCAAATGCTTAATGTTTGCTGGGAATTGTGATGAAAGATGAATGAGAGGAATGGCTCTTCTGATGGTGGTAACACAGGCAGCTCCCCATTCCCCACTGGGTTTGTTTAGCTACGCCTTAGATACCAGCATACCTGGGCCTCTTAGAAGACAAGGGCCCAATTGAATAGATTCCCTGGAAGTCCAAGGGGCAGAGCACAGCAGGAGAAGTGATTTTGGGGAGACTGTCAGGATAACTTGGCAGACTGGAAACTAGGGAAACCTCTGGGGTACATATCCAAACCAAACTTGTGAAATACTGGCTCATCCCCAGGTCCTCTGTTAAGGCCTTTGGGGAAAGTCCTAAATGCAAGCCAGTCAAGTTGAACATTACACTATTTATAATTACAAGATAGGAAGAAAAAGACAGGAAAAAAGAAAGGGGAGACAGAAAGTAGGAACCTAATTAAGGCCTGGCTAGCAACGGCTTAGATACGGTGTCATTAAAAGTAAAGCATGCTTCTATAAATCAATGAATGAAAGCTTTTAAAAAATATTTTTAAGAAAGAAAACAAATGTGCAAGAAGAACCATTGTAGTACCTGGCATTTCATAAGATGAAAAAGATACTTGTATTCAAAGGGAAATGTGCCATGGAAACGTAACAGATAAAGTGTTGCAGGATTCTTATTAAGAACATACATAAAGCATTATTATACTTAGCATTGTTACAGTTCTGTATGAAATATAATTTTGTTGGGGAAGGTGGAGTGGAGGCAAGCATTTTACATCTGATGAGTCACCGTAAAGCTACTTCCCTATTGCTGCTTATGGCGAACTGAGCGGGCTTTATATTAGTAATATGCAGAGCTGTCTAAGATTAGGAACAAGACATTAGTGTCCACTCTATCATTCCTACTCAACAAATTACTTGAAGTCTTAGCTAGAGCAATCACACAAGAAAAAAATAAAAAGATACTAGAATTGAAAAGGAAAAAGTAACATTGTCTCTATTTGCAAATAACATGATTTTACATATAGAAAATCCTAAAAGTTCAGCCAAAAAACAGATTTGATCAATGAATTCAGTCAATTTGCCAGATACAAAATTAACATACAAAAATTGGTAGCATTTGTGTATACTAATGACTTTTCTGAAAAAGAAATAAAGAAATCAATCCCATTTACAATAGTATTTTTAAAAAATCCTTAGGAATAAATTTAACTAAGGAGATTAAAGATTTACACTCTGAAAACTGTAAGACATTGATGAAGGAAATTGAAGAAGGCACAGACAAATGGAAATGTATCCTATATTCATGGATTGGAAGAATTAATATTGTTAAATGTCAATAATACCAAAAGCTATCTGTAGATCCAATGCAATCCCTATCAAAATTACAATGGTGTTGTTTATAGGAATAGAAAAAACAGTCCTAAAATTTATACAGAGCCAGAAAAGACTCATAGTCAAAAAAATTCTAATAAAGAGGAACAAAGCAGGAGACATCACAGTTCTTGATTTCAAGCTATACTATAAAGCTATAGCCGTCAAAACAGTATAATACTAGCAAATAGACCAATGGAACAGAATTGAGAGCTCAGAAATAAACCCAAACATATACAGTCAACTCGGGAACCAAGAACCTGCAAAGGAGAAAAGACAGTATCTTTAATAAATGGTACTAGAATAATTGTTATTCAGAATGAAACTGGTAATTATTAGAGAAATGCACATCAAAACTACAATGAGGTATCACCTCACACCAGTCAGAATCAGTCAGTTAAGTTCAGTCGCTCAGCTGTGTCTGACTCTTTGCAACCCCATGGACCACAGCATACCAGACTTCCCTGTTCATCACCAACTCCTGGAGCTTGCTCAAACTCATGTCCATTGAGTTGGTGATGCCATCTAACCATCTCATCCTCTGTCATCCCCTTCTCCTCCCAACTTCAATATTTCCCAGCATCCAGGTCTTTTCCAATGAGAATGGCCATTATTAAAACATCTACAAATAACAAATGCTGAAAAGGGTCTGGAGAAAAGGGAACCCTCCTACACTGTTAGTGAAAATATAAATTGGTACAGGCACTATGGAGAACAGTATGGAGGTTCCTTAAAAATAAAAACAAAGTTACCATATGAGCCAGCAATCCCACTCCTGGGCATATATCCAGATAAAACTATCATCCCAAAAGATGCATGCATCCCTGTGTTCATAGCAGCACTATTTACAATAGCCAAGATATCAACCTAAATGTCCATTGACAGAAGATTTGGTATATATGTGTGTGTGTGTATACATATATATAGATATAGATATAATGAAATATTACTCAGCCATAAAAAGAATGAAATAATGCCATTTGCAGCTACAAGGATGGACCTAGAGATCAGTATATTAAGTGAAGTTAGAAAGAGAAGGACAAATACCATATGATATCACTTATATGTGGAATCTAAAATATGACACAAATGAACCTATCTATGAAACAGAAAAAGACTCACAGACATAGAGAAGAGGCTTGTGGTTGCCACAGTGGGGAGGGGGGAGGGGAGGGCTAGATTGGGAGTTTGGGTTTAGCAGATGCAAACTGGTGTATATAGAATGGATAAACAACAAGGTCCTACTGTATAGCACAGGGAACTATATTCAATATCCTGTAATAGGTGCCCAGAAACCATCCCAAGAGTGGCTGCATGAGGCCGGGCCAGGAGGGAGGCCTTGACTTAGGTTTGACACACTCGCCCTGAGTGTCCTTGTCACCTGGGTTTGTTTAGATGGCTCCCGCAAAGAAGGGCGGTGAGAAGAAGGGCCGGTCTGCCATCAATGAGGTGGTGGCCAGAGAATACACTATCAACATTCACAAGTGCCTCCATGAAGTGGGTTTTAAGAAGCATGCCCGTAGGGCACTCAAAGAAATCTGGAAATTTTCCATGAAGGAGATGGGAACTCCAGATGTGCACATGGCCACCAGACTCAACAAAACCGTCTGGGCCAAAGGAATAAGGAATGTTGCATACCGGATCCATGTGCGGTTGTCCAGAAAATGTAATGAAGACAAAGACTCGCCAAACAAGCTCTACATGTTGGTTATCTACGTGCCTGTCACCACCTTCAAAGATCTACAGACAGTCAGTGTGGATGAGAACTAACTGCTGATTGACCAATAAAGTTATTGAACTGCAAAAAAAAAATTCCTGTAATAAACCACCATGGAAAAGAATATATACATATGTATTATATACATTACATATATAACTGAATCCCTTTGCTATACACCAGAAACTAATACCACATTGTAAATCAACTATATTTCAATAAAAAAAGAAAGAAGCTGAACACATGCCTTATACCTTATACCTCTCGTAAATACTAACTCAAAATGGATGAAAAAACTTGTATGTAAGACCTGAAATCATAAAACACCTAGAAGAAATCTCCTTGACATGGGTCTTGGTAATGGTTTTTTGGATATGACACATAAAGCATTAACAACAAAATAAAAAGATAAGCAAGTGGGACTACCTCAAATTAAAAAGCCTCTCCACAGCAAAAGAAGCCATCAATAAAATGAAAAGAAAACTTATGGGATGAGAAAAATATTTGCAAATCATACATATGATGAGAGGTTAACATATAAAATAGTAAAGAACTCACACAACTCAATAGCAGAAAAACAAATAACCCTATTCAAAAATGGGTAAAGGACTGTGATAGACACTATTCCAAAAAAGATATATGAAAGGCCAATGGATATGTGGAAAGATTCTCAACATCACTAATCATTAAGGAAATGCAAATTAAAATCAAATTAAAAATTCACATTTGTTAGAATGGCCATCATCAAAAAAAGATGCTGGTGTGGATGTGGCAAAAAGAGAATTCTTGTGCACAGCTGGTGGGATTGTAAATTAGTATAGACACTATGAAAAATAGTATGGAACGCCCTCAAAAATTAAAAATAAAACTACCATGTGATTGAGCAATTCTACTTCTGGAACATATCCAAAGGAAAACACAAACTAAAAAAAAAATCTGTATCCCAATATTCATAGCAGTATTATTTATAATAACTAAGATATGGAAGCAACTTAAGTACCCATCAATAGATGAATGAATAAAGAAGTTATGATTTAAAAAAATACACACACAATGGACTATTACTTAGCCACAAAAAGAATGAAATCTTATCATTTACAACAATATGGATGGACCTTGAAGGTATTATACTAAATGAAATGTCAGACAGAAAATGACAAATAGTTTATGACCTTATTTACATGTGAAATCTTTTTTGAAAACTCATAGAAAAAGAGATCAGATTTGTGATTATTAAAGATGGAGACAGAATTGGAGGAAGTGGTCAAAAGTTCCAAACTTCTAGTTGCAAAATATGTAAGTGCTGCTGCTGCTAAGTCGCTTCAGTAGTGTCTGACTCTGTGCGACCCCATAAACGGCAGCCCACCAGGCTCCCCCGTCCCTGGGATTCTCCAGGCAAGAACACTGGAGTGGGTTGCCATTTCCTTCTCCAATGCATGAAAGTGAAAAGTGAAAGTGAAGTCGCTCAGGCTCAGTCATGTCTGACTCTTAGCGACCCCATGGACCGCAGCTTACCAGGCTCCTCCGTCCATGGGATTTTCCAGGCGAGAATACTGGAGTGGGGTGCCATTGCCTTCTCTGATATAAGTACTAGGAATATAATATGGGCTTCCCTGGTATCTCAGATGGTAAAGAATCCGCTTGCAATGAAGGAGACCTGGGTTTGATCCCTGGGTTGGGAAGATCCCCAGGAGGAAGGCATGGCAACCCACTCCAGTATTCTTGCCTGGAGAATCCCCACGGACAGAGGAGCCTGGTGGGTTACAGTCCATAGAGTCTAAAAGAATCAGACACGACTGAGGGACTAACCACAGCACAGAATGGGGTTGTAATATGTGATATGATAACTATAGCTTACACTGCCATATGATATATAGAAAAGTTAAGAAAGTAAGTCCTGATTTCTCATGATAAGTGAAAAGTTTTTTTTCTTTCTTTCCTCCTTACTGTATCTTTATAAGACTGATGTTTGCTGAACCTATTGTGGTAATCATTTCACAATATATGTATATCAATCATGCTCTATGCCTTCAACTTTCACAGTAATAAACGTTAATTATTTCTAAACAAAACTGGAAAAAAAAGACAAATATACAAAACAATGCTTTATAAACATTGGGCAGCAAGACCTCACAGGATCCCTGAGAGAAGGGAAACACGTAAGGTGAGCCCTATGATTGCCCTAGCTTACTTCTGGGAAAGAGTTTCCAGCACATAATGCAGGAAGTGCAAAACTGGAAAGAGTCTGGTATTCTCACTAAGTTGAGGAGATAGAGTGGAGGATTTCAGGAGGCCAAGGTGTTAGAATATGCAGGGCAGAGTAATAGATAGGAGGAGTATACACAGAGTGAGAGCTATGGAAACATGCAGGTGCTACCCTTTCCAATTTTCCGGTGAGTTCTGATCATGTGTTGTAAGGAAACTACCCTCAGACCATCAGAAAGGAGCAGGCAGAACAGTTCTTGGAGGTCAAACAGAACTGTTAAGAGTTCACATTCCTAAAAGCCAAAGCCAAGAAATCTCTTAATGATTGAGACATCAGATAAAGTACACAGAAGGATGTTATCTCAGTAGAGAGAACAAATTTAACCCTTGACTAAAATATTTTGGTAGCTTCTGATATAACCTAACAACTCTTAAAAGTAAACCTCAAAATGATCAAACTGTTTCCAAGTGTCTTAATTGTGTCTTAAAACAAAGCTTTAAAAAAGGGAATTAAAAAAAAAAATCCAGCAGCCAACCATGTAAAATTCAAAGTGTCTGGCGTCTAGTCAAAAAGTACCAGGCATGCAAAGGAGCAGGAAAATACAACTCATAATGAGGAGAAAATTCAATCAATATAAATAGTCTCCAAAATGCACAGCCAAGAGAATTGGTAGACATGGGTATTAAAACAGCTGCTCTACATGTTTATTGCCTAGCCACAAGATCATAAATATGCTATTTGATTAACCCACATGGGATGAACTTTTGTGTATATGCAAAATAGAAGTCGAGTCACTTTTTTTTTACTATATGGATATCCAATTGACCAAGCATCATTAATTGACAAAGAACATTCTTCCCTTGCAATGCAGATGTAACCTGTGTTACAAAAAAGGCTCATATATGAAGAAATTATTTTCAGAAAGAAAATGAATGTGCAAAACGAACCATTATAGTACTTAGCATTTTATAAAATGAAAAAGATGCTTGTATTCAAAGGGAAATGTGCTGTGGAAATACATAAGAGATGAGATGTTGCAGGACCTTAATCATAAACATATGCAAAGTTAGCATTGTCACATTCTATATGAAGTTCTTGGAAATACAATTTAGTCAGGGGTGGGGAGTGGGCATTTTGCATCTGATGAGTCACCATAATGCTACTTCCCTATTCCTTTGTTGTTCAGTCTCTCAATCATGTCCAACTCTTTGCAATCCCATGGACTGCAGCACGCCAGGCTTCCCTGTCTTTCACTATCTTCCAGAGTTTGCTCAAACTCTTGTCCACTGAGTCGATGATACCATCCAACCATCTCATCCTCTGCTGCCCCCTTCTCCTCCTGCCCTCTGTCTTTCCCAGCATAAGGGTCTTTTCCAGTCGCATCATGTGGCCAAAGTATTGGAGCTTCAGCTCCAGCATCAGTCCTTCCAATAAATATTCAGGGTTGATTTCCTTTAGGATTGACTGGTTTGATCTCCTTGCTGTCTACGGGACTCTCGGGAGACTTCTCCAGCACCACAGTTCAAAAGCATCAGTTCTTCAGTACTCAGTCTTTTTATTGTCCAGTTCTCACATCCATACATGACTACACGAAAAACTATGGCTTTGATTAGATGGACCTTTGTCAGCAAGGTAATGTCTCTGCTTTTGAATACGCTGTCTAGGTTTGTCATCGCTTTTCTTCTCAGGAGCAAGCATCTTTTAATTTCAGGGCTGCATCCTGCTTATGGTGAATTGACCACCTTTATATTAGTCATATGCAGAACTATCAAACAGTGGAATTTCCTTTGTCACCATTGTAACCAGGGGAATGAAATTATTCTCTTAGTAGAAGAAGAATTAGAATATTTGTTTTATGTTCTTACCTTCTTCCTCATCCTACTACAGAAGCTCAATAAGTCACTTCACCTCTGTGAATCTCAAACCCTCCATCAGTCACTTAAATTTAATGCATGTAACAGATGGTGCTGGCTTTTGTCAAAAGGGAATTTTTTTCCCAACATGTATCATGGTTGTAGCTCCAATACAATGATTTGAAAAGTCCTGAAGATCAGTACAGATCTATGTTACTAGCCCGTCTCCAAGAAAAAAATCTATATGGGCTTAATGGAAGCTAGCCAGTGGCTTCAAAGAATGTGACTTCATTTTCCTTTCAGGTGAGTAAGCATTTCATGAGCATCTATCATATGCACAGGAGGCTGAAGTAGTACATGTAGAATTTGGAGAACACCAAACTTTCTGGCATCACCGACTCGATGGACATGAGTTTGGGTAAACTCCGGGAGTGGTGATGGACAGGGAGGCCCGGCATGCTGCAATTCATGGGGTCACAAAGAGTCGGACATGACTGAGCGACTGAACTGAACTGAACTGAAACTTTCTGGAGAACTCTCAGAATGGCCTCTAACTCTTCACCCTCAGGTACTAACTCTTTCTGACTTCTTTAACCATTAAGACTCTGCATAGTTCAAGGAGGCCAACAGACTCCTTGGCCCTTTCCTTCTATTCATCCAAATGTGAGCTTCAAAAGCAGCAGAACCCTAGGTGAAAGAAGCCAACTGAGCCTGGAAGACTGAATGCCTTTGAACCTCTGGGAAATACCTGACTTTAGAAACATCTATGACAGTGTTTTCTACTTAATACTCCAAACTCCAGGAGGGGAGAAAAATGGCTAGAGACAGAAAGTATTGCTTCCTACATCCCTTTCTCAGTGGCCCTTTGGGTGGAAAGAAAGACATGGTTCTCCTAACCTTCCATAATCTATAGGAGGTAACTCCTAGTACAAAAACACCACCTCATCCACATCCCACACCCGTCTAGTATGACGGGAAGTGGGAGAAGGAGGTT